GAAAATTAAATACTTACGATGCCTTTCAAGTGCCTAGCAAAAAAAAATGGAAGAGGTCCTTAAAGGGGCATTTCCTTTTTCATCTGATTTTCATGGAACATGGTGGACACACAGTAACAGAGCTACACACGTAGTGGGATGAGCGTGTTCTGTACGTCATTCCACTTGCCTTCGTTAGAGGGATCACTGACCTCAGCAACAACAGTCCCTCCGCCAGCAGAAAATGTCTAACTGGCTTATGCCTCGTGCTGTAGCACAGCCCACTTCTTCCCTGACTTTTCAGGACAGCAACTGAGAAATCACAAGGCTTTTAGGTACTGCTTTCCAGTACAAAAGTACTTAAAGGAGCAACTGCCTAGAGCTTTACCGTGAAACACTTAGCATAAAAATATAACCTTCTGCATGAAGTAATCAGCATTTAACCGCACAATCCATACAGTCCAAGACTGCAAATCTGAGTTACATCTGGACCATTTTCTCTTGTTACTGCTCTGCCCTTGCGCCTGTCCCTCACTAACGTATGTTTGATTGCATAGCTCCTAGAAAAATCAGTGCATACCACCTGGTACTGCTTTCTGTTCACGCGAAAGAGGCATTTCTCTTTTGAATATCGCAGTCCTTTCTATCATATGCTGTTTTTTCAAAATGTGGCTACTAAAGGCACAACAAAACAAAACCCCCTCTCATCAGGTAAGAGATATGCCCAACTAAATCTTTTCACTGACTTCCAGCTAGTCAGTCCAATGCATCATATTCAAATTGCTTGTCATTTCTGAGGTTAAGCGAGAGATAATTAGTAGAGACATTTGCCCCTTTTCTCTTTTTTCCCCTGTATGACTTCAATACTCCTTATGATAACCTCCATAGCCTCAAACTCTTGAATGTTTTTTGCAGTTTGCTAGCCTGCTTTTCTTGACGTACCCCTCTTTCAAAGCTATGAATCAAGTCACGACACAACCTGTCAGACTTCTTTTTTAATGACCTAAATGCATTTTTACAAAACAAAATTAATTTACTCGGATGCCATAAAACATTCTATAAAAAACTACCAGACTTCCATTCAGGAGCAGTTGCTTTCCTTCTCTTCTTCTGTGTATCGTAGTGCCATCCCTTGGAAGTTCATTTCTGCCATCGTCTATCACCAGTGATAACAGTCTAGTTCACTAACTTAGCTGAAAGCAACAGATTTGAGGATGAAAATATTACTTGCTACAGAATAAGGGTGGCAAAATTAGCACAGCAACAAATAGATTTGTCACAATAGCATTTTTTCACTACTATATGTCAGCTCTCCATAGCAATCCACGAGGGGAGTCTGAAATAGCATCACTTGATGACTGATGTGCTATTCTTTTCTTGTAACAGAATGCTTTTGGTTTTCAAACAGGACTCGGAGGAACCAAGTACATCTCCTTCGAAGAACGGCAGTGGCATAACGATTGCTTTAACTGTAAGAAGTGCTCTCTCTCATTAGTGGGTCGTGGCTTCCTCACGGAAAGGGATGACATCCTTTGCCCTGAATGTGGGAAGGATATTTAAAGCTCAAAATAAGAGGTGGGGAGACAGGAGGAAAGCCGTGCTCACAATATATATAGTCTGAAATACACAGATGTTCAGAACTAGCTTTGCCACTCTGTGTTTTGCTGTACTATTAACATTACTTAACCTTTTTCTTCAAACTCTCCAAATCTGGAGGGAAAACAACTTCAAAATCTCTAGTAGCAGTGTTGGTGTTTAAGATTTCTACAGCTAACCAAAACTAATGCAAAACCTGAGATGTAAAACCATTTGGGTGTTACTGACATAACATACTCTTTTGGGTTTTTTTTTTTTTCCTTCCACTAAATATTCCAGTTACAAGCAAGTGATATAGTTCAAGGATTACAATGGCCACGCACAAGACATTCATAGATGGATATTCAGGGTGAAACCCTCAGCCCACTGAAATCAATGGCAAACACGATTCCATTTCAATAAGGCTGTGGTCTCGCCTCAGTGTTTCCGAGCTACATGACTAGTGTGTGCTGTCAAGTGTGTAGAAAGACTGCGAACGTAGAGGGTGTTTCAATGTATGAGGATTTGTGCCGTGCCATAAAGAGATAATGATAACACAGTTGAAGTGGGAGTGCTTCATAACAGGTACATATTTTATTGCATGACTAGCTGATCATTGTGTGAAATACAAGTTCTGATTGACAGTGTCAGTATTACAGTTAGTCAACATTACACTGCACATTGTATTTTTCAAAATAAAATCATTTAAAACAAACTTGTGATTGTGCTTTAATTGTATTTGCATGTTAGATATTTACAAATGAAATGCTTTCACAGTCTGAAGAAACACAATGTAAGAGCCATACAAACACAAGCCTTTTTGTACCCAGTCATTATGAAACTGTGGAGTTTAGACAATGCTTTTACGGGCCCTGCTGATACAACATGGTCTTCTACTAACCGAAATCAGTGGGAAAATTATCAGCAAAACTGAACAACTGTATGAAAATACTGAATTGACTACAGCCAATACAAATGTGTTCGTAGGCTCTAAACTCAAAACCAAAATATTATTGTTCTCAGCAAGCAAGGAGGTCAAGACAACTCAAAAGACATTTAATCTTTGCAAAAGTCAGAAGTTTAACTTCTATACTACGGCATGCTTTAATTTTGTTCTGTATTGCAACACATAATACCCTTTGCTCTAGCATCATTTCTGCTACATGTTTGCTGCAAAGGTGACTGTTAGCAACATCATGCTGGTAGGACAATAAAATCAAGAGCAAATAATCCAAAGGAAGATAACTCTTCCCAAAGCAAACTTCAAGAAATATGGCCATGTTATGCAATGTACAATCCTGGTGCACCTTCCAGATGGAATTCATTTGTATCCAGCAAAAGGAGAAAAGTAATACGTCACACTTCCAACAGGAATCTTCGGATGTGGAAAGAAGAATTAGGAATATACTTACTCTGTGTGTAATTGCTTCCAGTTCCTGCCACCACTCTTGAATTTGTCTCTTTTTGTACCAAGTGTAAAGTACTCACAGGTCATTCCTCTCTCATTAATTCAGCAAGCTAAATCGATGCATCTGATCAGATTTGGTTTACTGTACACCATTTGAAGAACTTGGCTGGCTGACATTTTTGAAGTGCACACCATGCTAATCTGATCTCACTGAATGACTAAATTCTATCCTTTGGTGATTTCATTCTATGATGAAGGCTGTAGTAAAGAACAGCCATAAAAATCTCTCTTACATCCACACCTCCCAAAGGAGGGCAGGCACCTCACTCTCTCCTCTGGGACCTGGCAATCACCCAGCACACTGCAGCTCTGCTCTAATACTTTGCTGAGAGAAGGATTACTGTTAGCTAAGGGGGTAGTGGAAGGTAGTAGCAGCAGCAAGGCTTGCACTTTGCCCCTCCAAGCGCTACAACAGATAGCAAAATGGTCCCAGTTTCGGGGAAAGGTAGGTGAAACATGACAAGGCTGAAAAGCATACCAGCCTAAAAACAAGACTGTTACCATGCAAAAGCAGCATCATGCTATTATTCCAGTACAGTTCTGCGTATCACTCCTTAACACATACCAACACACACGTGCTCCTAGCAACTGGAACTACAACAAAATATAGCCTAGTCTCTAAACCACTGCCAAGAAGCCACCCACAAAACAGAACTCCTACCAGACTGTTACACTAGTGCAAGGACCAGCACTTCACATGATACTAACTGCTGCTAAAACTCCAAAGTAGGTACTGAGCCTTTTACCTTGTAAGCTTTTTCTGAAGTTCTAATCACTTCCAAGTCCACTGAAAAATAACCATATAAAATGAACAAGCTTAACTACATCACAAAAACAAGTCAGCACTACTTTGTTTGCTTTTAATTGAGTTTATTTAAATAGGATAAGGCTACTTAAAAGACAACTTTTTACATACAAAATGTACATTACATTAAAGTTTGCTGTACTCAAGTACAAAAACTGTGGAAGTGTTTAGTAAAAGGGAAACAGCACACAATATTTCAAAACACACACATTCTTACCATTTTACAGCATTCAAGAAGTGCCTTTTATGTCACAACAGTGAATGGAGAACTTCTGTCAGTAATGAATTACGCTACAGTTTTTGGTTTCAATATTAACCAATGTTAAAAATGTAAACAAGCTTTCAGATCACTACTGACAGCTTCTTTTAGTGGGTTAACTAAGTGGATTCAGAAGTCGATTCTTTTTTTTTTGTTTCTGTTCTACTAAGTCTGGGAGCATTATTATTATTTACCATCCATATCTAAAATGGATCTAAACTGGCTTCACCCTGAGCCACTGAGATTTAGTAAAAATGTTTCCATCAACTTAAGTGGATTTCTGCCTTATAAGGCACCACCAATAATCCAGAGGAAACATCAAGTTTCACAGAAAACCAACATCCATCTTAAATTATCAAAGGAAGGGAAAACAGGCTGGATTTCGGTTTGGTTTTTTGTTTTGTCTTTTTTTAAAAGAGTGCAACTACATATGCTAATGCTCTCAAGGTACTACTTTGTCTTCCTATCCCTGTCCCTCTCCAACTGTTAGTAAGTTGAGAAAGCACTGACCTGCATTCCACAGGTTTTCCCCATATTTTGTAAGCATGATTGTAACCAGGAAAGTTGCTACAATGGCACATTTTTACACTTGTGCATGTATAAAATATGCCTGTGTATTTAAGAGAACATGGCACTAATTCATTCACTACTTCCTCTCAAAGATTCATATCAAACAGTCTAATTAAACATACTTCCATCTGTGCATTTCTTATCTCATACGTCAATAAGAGAAACTTCAATTTGAAGTAATGCTGTTAAATAGTTCATCTCTTATTACCAACATAACTTGCACTGTGATTTCTACACTCCTGTTCTGTGCAACAAAAATGAAAAAAATTTTGTCTTTGACTATCTTACCAGCAGAATGGTCAGTTTTCTCACCAAAATGAATTATCTTTTTGAAGCCAAGAAGGCTCTTGGGATCACTCTGAATCTCAACAGCTATTTTAACTATTCCATCAGAAGTGGAACAAAACTGAATCTTACTGAAACAAACAAACAAAAATATTTATATGTGTGAATCGTAGCGACATGCGGGAGATGAACTATAATAATCTTGAAAACTAGAAGTGGGGAGTTTAGTATATTGTAATATTACCACCTTTTAAAGAAGTAATGAACTACTTGGTTTACAAGAGTAGACACTCTTAAAGATGACTGGTGATAATGATTCCAGCTTTACAACAGGGAACTTCTAAATTTGTTAAAACTTCACAGCAATCTGAATCCCAGTAAGGTTTAAAAAGAATTTTACCTAAACTGTTTAAATATGACTTATCTGTTTGAAAATATGGAAGTAACATTTATGTTTCAAGCACCATTAGCTACTTCATGGCCATGTAACATGCTGGATTTTCTTCTTTGCTTCCGTAGGCTTTAGGTCATTCTGGAATACAAGAAAATATATAAGTATTCTTAGATATAGTGTGCAAGTAAAAGTTAGTAATTAACCTGCCATATTCAAATCCAGTGCTTACTATTGCTGTACTCAGTATATGCTACTACAATAGCTTTCTATTGCCATCTTGTGGAGAAAGTTAAATATCACAGAACTTCTCTAGAGCAGATAAAAATAAAGCAAATGAATTTAACTACCTGTAAATCATATACGTCTTTTGTTTTTTCTTAATCCTACTCTTAGTCATTCAAAAATATCTTTCAATTATGCAGCTTCAAAACAGGTACATACTGGAGTTTCAACACATACTTCTAAAGTTATTTCAGATTGCCTTCTTAAAATGGGATTGTATAAGAAAAAATAATCATACAACTAGGAAACCAATTTACTTTTGTCAAATAGTAAAAACATTAGAAAAAGAGAAGGAAAAGTTGGTCTTCCTTTGTAATGACCTGTATAAAAAAAGTGAAATAATTGCCAAAGCCTCAGATGAACTCATCTTTCAAGCCCCATCCCAAGACACCAGAAAAAAAGATCAAGTAAGCCCAAAGTAAAACAATGGGAGATTGAAGTGGTGAAATAATTACCTTTCACCATCTAAAATAAGAAAAAAAACCCTAAGAAATTAGAGCTTTAATAGTTCACTCAAGCAAAGACAGGTACATGAGTTTTCAAGAACATTCTGCAACACACTGGTTTGGGGAGAACAATCTGGAGATCCCTCTTCTCATTAAAGAGTTTCAGCATTAGTTTATTTACAGCAATCCTGTGGATTGCAACCACTGAAAGGTTGAAGGGAATCAGACCCAAAGATCAGAAAGATAGTTCTGCGCTATGCAGCACAAGAGCTCCAGTTTTTCTTGAAAGTCAAAGAACAGTCACTTGCTTGAAAAGGCAATTGTCATTACTGTACACTAAAAATATACCAGGCTTTACACTCTACAGCCATCTGCCAAGTATACTGATTCTTCCTGACTGCATCACTTATTATTCAATACCACATTCTTTAATCTCAGACAGTAAAGTAACATCCATACAACACACTTGCCTAACTTCAAATGTGTCTGACTGACATTAACCAAGGCATGACTGAACTTACCGGTATTAACTTGAACAACATAAACTGTGGCTAAGACAAAGTCAAGTGTCAGAGGTCATAGCTTCTGAGTGTCAGTTACACAGTGTCACTTAAAAGTGTTCATCACTGTGTCTACCAAACACTTTAAAGAAGCTGTGAGGTGTATACTAAACAAGTTTCAAAAGCTCTGTAGATTCAGATCTGACCAGTACTTAGAAGAGTTCTAAATACTAAAATAAGTTAGTGATACTGCTAGTAGGAAACACACCTCTCCAGCATAAATTTGATTCAGGGCCTCAGCCATGATTCTTGTAAAAGTTGCTAAAGCTGTCTTTCAGAACAGCCATATGTTTAGGTGCTCATGTTTAACAGAAGTCTGATGGAACCTACCAACCCATGCAACAAGGATATTACCTGCATTCTTTCACAAAAGGATTTTTTTAAAAGGAGATTAATAGAAAGCATTTCATGAGGCAATACTGAGAAAACAGAAGTTAGGTCTGGTGTCCTGGAAAATGTTAACATAACTGCACACTGCATATCTAAAGGTCCCCCTGCAGTTCAAGTGAGAACAGATATTTCTATTTCTTCCTTTGAAGCCCAGACTTACTCCAGATATTCCCATACTCCAGTGGAAATGTGAAAATTCCTTAATTTGTATTATGAAGGAATACAACACAAATGTAAGACTTATCCCTACCTCGCGGCATGTTTTGAAGAGGAGATGACCCATTGCTCCTTGCTCACTGACAAGCCCTTAAAGACTAATCACACCTTTATCAAAAATAGCCACTGTTCCATCCGTCTCCCCAGCTGGCAGCTATATTCAGCACCACTACCTACACGTTCAAAAGATATGCCCTCCTGAATTCATATATCCTGCCTTAGCTCTTCTCTCATCACTTCAGCTCACCAGCCTCATCCTGCCCCTGTCTCTTCTCTACAGAAAATTTGTTTGCAGCTGAAATCTAACTTGCAGAAAGAAGATAACTATTTACCTTTAGGGTTAACAGCTCAGCCATCAGTCTTCTTACTTGAGAACAGCACCCTTCTGTTCAAGATCTCAGCATGCCTTTCTCAGCATCTTATAGAAGCCCAGGTACCTGATTAAGATCACCATGGCTCAAAATGAGCACTCAACCTTTGGCCTCTCACTTCAACCAGTATGGTTTGTCGTTATGGCTTCTCATTCAGACCCACAATCTAGGCAGCTCTCCAGATTTTGACATCCAGTTCCTTCCTCTAGCTTGCCAATTCCTATTTGAGATTTAAAACAGATGGCGTTCTTCCTCTAAGGATATATTCCACAGCTCTCAACATCTCACTTCAGTTCCCATAATATCTTTTCCTTCAGTTTGACAAATGAAAGCTTGTCCCACTCAACCATTCAAGTGTGATTGTTACAAATGTTATCATTCCATTTTTTTCTTCCCTACTACAGAAAACAGACCACTTGTCCTCCCTTTAAGGCTGTTCATGTTGTTCGTTTGTTCTATAATAACTGTTCTCTCTCTCAGACCTACCAGTAGGATTATTTTGTGTTTTATTTGACTGCTACCAGCACTACCTTAAGTATTAACTACTTACTCATTTTAAAATTACATGCATGTTTTCTACAAAGCTACCTCTCTCACACAGAAGTTTCCCACAGACAAGTACTTCATTTCTTTCCTTCTAATCTCTCCCAAACCAGCTCCTCTTTTGCCTGTTTCTAAATAAAGACTCTGCTGTTATTCCAAAATAAAATAATCCTGAAAACTCTTACAAGGGTCTACCTTTGGCTCCTGCAAGTTTCAATTAAAAAAGCTGCAAAACAAAATACTGAACATACATACCGGCAAATCAGATTCTTCTTTTGGAACAGCTCTCTTTAATTTCACAACAGTAGTTCCTGCTACTGGTGACAACGGGTACACCTTCAGACTAGCCAACATGCTGCTGTTAGTCTTTGAAATATTGTTCTGCTTAGCCTCATTATTCCTCATTCCCAGCTTAGCGTCCTCTGATAAACTGGAGGCTGAAATGTATGTTGAGGCATTTGAAGGAACAGATAATCTTCTAACAGTGTTGGTTGTGCTTCCAGCTGGAGGAGGTTTTAGGCGATCAGCAGCTCCGTTCTCTGTCTTCTTCACCTTTATGCTTGTACTTGTTGAATTGCCATCAAATACAATTAATGGCCGTTTCCTTAAACCTTCCACCATTGTAACACTGAAAATACAAATTGTAAAATTCTCAGAAACACAAGCTAGATGTGTCCAAAAAATAGCATATCCAAGACATGAGTAGTGAAAATCAGTTTAATCTTGCCTAAAGTAAAAATATATGCCAAAATGTTGATCTTAAGCTCTTAGCTGCTCCAAACTTAGACAATAGAAATTGCTTCCAAAATATAAAGGGGGCAGGCGGGCAGGAGGTTGTGTGAGGAACAGTGTTCCTCAGCAGAGGGTTGTGTGAGGAACTTTCTAGGCAGACAATTAGTTGTATGACCAAAGACTGTACGCTTATACCACTATAGCTATTCCAGAGTAACTAAAGAGATAATAGCTGTTAAGCATTTCAAAAGGTGAATGCTTGAGAAAATGTTTGCTACCTTACCTACAAGAACAGCATCTCATATTCTGATGCTTCTAAATCTCCCTGTTTCCACTTTTATTCAAAATCATGTTAAGATAGTCTAAAAGACTGTTAGACAAGGAATGAAAACATTAAGCAAAAAAACCCATGCCTGTTTTTGAAATAAGCTGTCTTTGAACAGGAACCCTAAGCTGATGGAATGTCTTTTTTTTTTTCTCCATAGTTTATGCCTTTAAGCTTACATGTAGTCAGAGCTGGCCAATTTAGTAGCAACTGATTTATGAAAAAGGAATACTATCAAGCTAATATCAAAACAGTAGTATCAGAAAACATCCTGACTGCCAAAAAATAAAGCACAAAGTTATCATAACTCACTCTACATGAATTTAGTTTTAAAAAAGCATGGCTCAAGAATGACAAAGAGCATGTGTTTGGAAAGCGCAGATTTAACAAATAAAAAACCCAAACCACCAGTAAGTTATGTAATATTCCTGTTTAGAAACTTCAGTTTTCAGTACACACCTACTGTTTAATCATCTCATATTAAACATAGGAATAAAAGTTGAACTAGAGTTCAACTATTGAAAACTTACAGTTTTCAACAATGAAATATATTCATTAATTTGTAATTAATGAATTTGACAATATTGATGTTAGGTATCTCAACAGACTTTAAAAAAAGCAGCAAGCAGAGACTCTGTTCGTTTGACTTGGAACAACATTACATTAGCAGCTGCTGATAAACCTCACATATTACGAAATTACACATCACTTGCATAATTTCTGTCCAGACCAGGGGTTTCTTGAAAAAAAAAATGAAAGGAGTCACAATTTAAGAGCTCATAGAGCAAGCAAACGTTCAGCTCTTATTCAGATTTGCTTCTATATTACTATTTGTTCACAACAACATGTCACATAATCCTCTTTTTCTATTCATCGGGTTCCTGGAACTGATAGAGACAAAGAGAGAACTTAACTCATTTGGGTCTTGTTTGTCAAGAGATTGGACAAAACTATTCGGCTTATATCTAGAGTAGGTGCCGTTTCTAAGAGAGCTTCTACAAAATGAGATTAGCTTCCAAGACTAGGAGTGTTCAGCCAGGCATGTTTCAGTTAAATACTACTGAAACAACAGTAGTATTTGACACATCGATTAAATTAAGGAGTATAATTTCACTTCAGAAGTCTAAAAAGCTGACACACACTTCAAAAATAAAACATGATACTTTTTGCTCATTTTGGCTTTGTCCAAGAATGTATTCAATGCTCCTGACAAGGAACACATTCCCCAGCAGCCTTTCTGGAAAGCTAGTTTACAAACTACACAAAAGAAAAAAATTTTATACCTTTTTTCAGTCACCTTCCTTAACACAAGTAGTCTGCTTTTCCTGTGGAGATTTTTTTTTTTTTTTAAATTCAGCTTGGCGTGGACTGATAAGTCAACTGCAATTCTAGGAGGATCATTAGCTGTTCTAAACTGAATTTTAAAACTGTAACACTTGTAAAAATGATCACATGCTATAATACAAATAACGTTCCCAGAGAAACACTTTGGGAAAGTTCTGAAAGAAATTTGGATGCTGTACTATCAAGAACTGTCACATCTAAGTTTTAGATACATGGCTCACAGAAGAACACAGAGCACTGGGTGCGACATTCACATTCTCTATATAAAGTACAGGTAGCTTAAAAGCTTCAGAGCAGGACTCATGTGAGCCAGCACTCTTCTGAGGGAGGACACTGATGCTAGCTAACAGCTGAAAAGAACCTTTTTGGGATCGTGTCCCCTCCTGCAGGACACTCTCTGTGAAACCTAGATTTCAGTGTGCATCTCCTATGTCCTAGAGAAATGTTCTAGCCACACTTTGGGCCCAGCTGGATGGAGGGCATGCTCTAATCCCACTGTTTACTTTGTAGCGCATGGTAAAGAATACAAGATTTACTAGAGGAAGCAAAAGCTTCTCTCCGTGAGCAATCTGGGTTTTCGCTGTTTCACCTGATGTTGTCAGGATGGCCTCTGAGCAACTCCTGATTATGAGGACAATTTAATGAAAAATGCTCCTATTCTTGTCTAGCTTAGCCTGGTACTTAAGGTAGCACCCTAAAACCAGGGAGAAGTGTAGGTTTTAGCTCCCACCCCGATTATCCTACATATTCACCTGTTACCAAAACGGGCAGGTAATCACCTCTTCTGTGAACGTCTGAAACTGGTCAGAAGTACCATGTTTTACACTGAATTCAATATTATCAGCACATTAGCAGTTCTCAGGATGCCGAAGCAGCCTCTCAGGTCACTAAGGAGAAATTAAGAGCAAGGCCACAGCTCTGAGCATGCACAGCCACAGTGCTCCTGGAGACTGAGTTTGCAGGTGAGTCTTCAGACTCGACGGCACTTCAGAAACCACATATACATTTTGAGATTCATATCATCCTCTTTCTTCCAGCAGGCAAGATGATCTTACAGATCTACAAAATTAACTGTCCCTGAACACAAATACTTTCTGAAATGTTTGAAGTTGGATAGATTGCATTTGTTTTTATTTGGTATGATTGTCTGCAAGCTCAAATATTCTGCAATAAGATGTACAAACTGCCATCTGTGACCACAGATATTTGACTGTGTTATTGAGGTATAACATGTTACTTACTGCAGCTCAGCTGATACACAGCAAGTCTTTTAGGACACACCATCAATCATCAGCAGTAAAACTAAACATGATATTCAACACTGACTTTTAAATTTCAGTGTTTTTACCTCCTATCTGTAACTACTAGAGGCATACAAACACGCACTGAGCTGTGCTGATCAAGTCACCAACCCTCATATTAATTCCCGTGCCTGTTGTAAAGCTGTGCTTTCCACAGAGGAACTCATCAGAAAGCTCCTGTTGTTCATACGATCAATCAGTTTATCTGACTTCTAAACTGAACTAGCAGCACACTTAGTTCCCGTCTCTGACTTGCACATAATTTACAGCCTCACAATACCTCGGAATTTTGTTTTGTTTTTAAAAACAAGAATGCCAAGTTCTACTTCCTCCTCTGCACAACGGTGTCGTGCCAGTTCTGCGTAAGTGGTGCACACAACTATGAGGAAAAGTATAATATTTTAATGTCCAAAAAGATGATTAAACTTCTTCAATTCTTTCTGTGAATATACTAAAACTGAAGTTTTCTCTGTGCAACTTTTATTTACTTAAAGTGCTGAAAGTCTACTTCTCCCATTTGTCTAGCATTAGTAATACTAGCAGTAAAAGATTAACTTTTCTAGACAGTATTTTGCCAGCATATTTGTTACGTATGAAAGATGTAATACAAGCAAAAACAGTAACTGCTGGAAAATCTTAAAACTGGCTAACAACAGAGCAAAAGACTAAGCCTAGCATGCTAGACGTTAAGTGCTAAGAGCAACTGGTAAAGAAAAGCAGACTGACAGATTAAAGGTATCTCCTTTTACTTACTATTTTCCCAGCAAATACTACATAGGTTTAACCATTACTGAATTTTAGTATACCAAAATAAGAGCACCTAAACTTATTCTACATATAAACTCTTGACAAAGCCATTCTCCCATCTAAAAATTAACATTGCTTCCTTCTCTCAAAAACATCCAGCCTACTATCTTTATTTCTTTGATAAAAAATTCTTTTGCACCTATTCCAGCACACCAGCATTTTCTTACTATTCGAATGCTAACCTCATGCTTTCATCCTCAAGTTGCAAGTTGTAAACAAACTGAGGTACTATAACCTTTTATTCACATGGAAAAAAAACCTGACATAACAAGATAACTCAGTGCCCTAGCCACTAAAAATTAAAAAAAAAACCCAACCCTCCACACTTCACAGAATTTGTTTAGCTCTTCCCGGTTAGAAACTTCAGTAAAGCTAAAACAGACTCATGAAATCAAAAAGCCTTAATACTGCAAAACTATAGCGAGAATTTCCATCCACCTTTCCTTCATTATCTACTGCTGAAGCTAAATCAGAACACTGCCCATGCACATCACACGTCAAAGTCAAAGTCTTGGGCAGCGGGAAGGTCAGGAGGAGAAGAGATTCAGTAAAACAAACTTTTGAGGAAGATTTTGCTTTCTGATCAAATACAAACAGAAAGGTTTTAAAAACAAGGCAGAATGTTTCTTTCTGAAAGTAGACATTAGTTTTGAATTGGACACACAAAACTCCTGCAGCATGCACCCCTGACTCTAGAGTAGAGAACCTTGTCCAGGAAGCAAGCATAATTAAAACATGCTTTTTGTACTTTTCTTAAACACTGTAAATATGATTATTATTTAACAATTATAAGGTGAAAAAAAAACTAGTTACTTTTTCTTCATTATAAAGTATCTTGAAATGTACTAACAACCCACGGTATCAATACAGGCTGGGGGATGAAGGGATTGAGAGCAGCCCTGCAGAGAAGGACTTGGGGGTGCTGGTGGATGAAAAGCTGGACATGAGCCAACAATGTGCACTCGCAGCCCAGAAAGCCAACCGAATCCTGGGCTGCATCAAAAGCAGCGTGGCCAGCAGGTCGAGGGAGGTGATTCTGCCCCTCTACTCTGCTCTGGTGAGACCCCACCTGGAGTGCTGCGTCCAGCTCTGGGGCCCTCAGCACAAGAAGGACATGGACCTGCTAGAGCGGGTCCAGAGGAGGGTCACAAAACTGATCCGAGGGCTGGAGCAGCTCTCCTATAAGGCCAGGTTGAGAGAGTTGGAGTTGTTCAGCCTGGAGAAGGCTGCGGGGAGACCTTATTGCAGCCTTTCAGTACTTAAAGAGGGCTTATAAGAAAGATGCGGACAGACTTTTTAGTAGGGCCTGTTGCAACACAAGATGTAATGGTTTTAAACTAAAGGAGGGTAGATTTAGACTGAATATAAGGAAGAAATTTTTTTACAATGAGGGTGGTGAAACACTGGAACAGTTTGCCCAGAGAGGTGATAGATGCCCTGTCCCTGGAAACATTGAAGGTCAGGCTGGACAGGGCTCTGAGCAACCTGATCTAGTTAAAGATGTCCCTGCTCACTGCAGGGGGGTTGGGCTAGATGACCTCTGAAGGTCCCTTCCAACCCAAACCACTCTGTGATTATACGAAAAGAAGCACTGTAAGCTAGATACCATTAATAACATTTGGATGAGAAAAAAAAAATTATCTTCCCCGTTTTCCTGTGATTGCAGTAGTAGAAGCTAACACTTCTGACACAGGAGACCTGACACAGCATTCTCTGTAAACTGTAACAACGTCCAAAAGCTGTGCAAGTTTCATTAATCAGGCAAACAAAGATAAAACTGAATGCATTGTCCTAAATTCTCCAAGTGTAGCCCAAGAAAAGCTAAATTACCTTTTATTCTCACTTTTTGACTCATTTTGCTGTCTTTTCTTTTCCATCATTTTCCCCCATCTACTTTTTGGTAAGTCACGCTGAGGCAGGGGAATAGCATGTTGAATATAGAGATCAGTGAGACCATCTTTGTCCATCTTTACACCATTTTCAACTACAATATTCTTCTGTGGGGAACAGAAAAAAAGATGTTATTATTATGAGAAATTCAAAGCACACAATCTTAGTGGCATAATTTATTTTTCCAAAAGCCACTTTAAGGTAGTGCACTGGGCAGAAATTACATGGTTTCAGAAGTGAGGGGGCTGCAGGGGTAACCAGTGTGGAGAGGCCATGAACTTCCCTGTGCTAATGACAGCCTTGTCTCCTGCCTTCGTACTGTCAACTTCCCTTGTTTTCCATGTGGATTACACTCGGTCCATCCCTTCACTGAGGCAATGGGAAATACGGGATGTTTGGTGACTGCATAGTGGTTTCTTTTTCCACTATCCACAAGCGCATCTCTTCACATATCTCCTCATGTGCTTCTTCCTGTGTGTCTTTTTGTGTCTCCTGACCCTAGTGGCTGCTGCTCTTTGTTAATTGCATTTGAGCACAAGTGCCATGAGCTGCTTGAAATTTTGGGGTGTGATGGGCTGTCTTCATCAGAGTCCGAGACAGCTGGATCCAGCTGCAACCAGTACTGGGCACTTCATTACCTTTGCCTACACAGGTCAACCCTGCAGCCCCTCCCTATCCAAAACCATGCAATTTTTCCCAACAGAAATAGTAGCAAAAAAAGAAAAAAAAAAAGTTACGATAGACATACTGTTGATGACTAATATTTTCATGCATTCTTAAACGCACTTCCCTGAATTTAACTACAATACCAGAACTTTTCTTCACACTTATAAAAAACAGGCAACTGCAACATAATGCAGTTCAAACTTACAGATGTAGAGCCGTGTTTCCTTCCCCAGTTCCCAAAGAATAAGTTGCAAAGGGAGATTTCTAGTAACTGTCAGTTATAACAGAACACCAGTTTTCTTTCTAATCATGTATAGGACTGTGAAAACGAAATTTCTTGGTACCTCCTGCCAAATTTATTAGAAGAGAAAGAAAATCCACTAACTTCCTACAAACTAGAGATCACTGAAAGCAGGTCCAGTCTCTGCCGCTACTGTTTTTGGCAACACTTCATGACTTCTGAGGTGGGCCTAAAACCTGTACATTTTTGTCCACATAAACTACATGCGCAAAAGCATACAAAAATTCAGTGAGCTCATACAAACACCTAAAACTTCAATTACTGTTGTTTCATGCACCTAAAACTTTCAGGCAAGGCAGTAACAAGTATCAAAAATCACATCAACTGAAGCTTTATACAGTCCAAAACTCTTATAACTCACTTTCAAACTCAATTTTTTTCAATTACACATACTTAAGCATTAGCTTGACTGATCACGCAGGATGCATTTCCTTAATTCACAGGGTATGAATGTGACAACCTTAACAACGATCGCCTTTCCACAGATAATTTTACCATATGCAAACATTGCCTCACAGACATGCTGATTTGGGTCAATTATTCTTTCGCAGCTACAGCGGCAGCGTTCAAACACAGAGGCATCTCTCACACTACAGGCTTCCTCTAAGCGAGTACCCAGCCTACAGGGTATCGAACTGCGTTTTGTTTGGTTTTTTTTTTCCCCGAATGCTTCTTGCGCACCCGTTACGGGCGGTACGAGACTGGAAACGGCAGGAGAGCTGGGAGAAAACTTCCCGTGTAGGCGATGTGGGGGGGTAGGGGTTTCCCTGAGGGGTAAAGCGGAGAAATAAACAGGGCGGGCCTAAGGCGGAGCGGGGACAGGACAACGAGCGGGGATGCG